ATTTATTATTAATTATTAATTATTATTAATTATTATTATTACACGGTTCACGCAGTTTTTAGGCATCTCCGTTAGGGTTTTCTAATTTTATTTTAAAAGGCACAAACTTTAGCTCTTAGTTGAATGTTGACAGGTATGCTTTCTCTTTTTCCGTGTCTTTCTACAACTGTGTTCTGTGACTCAACTGTACTGTGTTAATATCAGTACAGACTTGTCTAGTTGACCGTATAAATAATGTTTTCCCTTCTCGTAGTCTCTATGGCGTGTCTTTATGGAGAAATAAGGTTCTCACGGGTTCGGTTCCCTTTGCGTTTAGAGAGACCAGGTTCAGGCAATGGTATATATTTTTGTTATCGGTTGCATGTCGTCTCATTTTTTTTTCCCTACCTGTTGGAATATGTTTGTGAGCATAATCGTCATAAATTATGTTCAGGGTTTTCAGATTTATTTATATGTGGTTAAAATGAATGCTTCTATTTAAAAGGGGAAATATTTCTACATGTGCATATAGTTTTCCAAGAGCAGGTTCAGGCAATGGTATATATTTTTGTTATCGGTTGCATGTCGTCTCATTTTTTTTTCCCTACCTGTTGGAATATGTTTGTGAGCATAATCGTCATAAATTATGTTCAGGGTTTTCAGATTTATTTATATGTGGTTAAAATGAATGCTTCTATTTAAAAGGGGAAATATTTCTACATGTGCATATAGTTTTCCAAGAGTGTACCATTAATTGATTGTTGATAATAAAAACCAAAAGCAAATATAGCACCGTAGCTCTTCCGACTTCTTGTTAGGGCTTTATTTAGGGGGAGGGCTCGGGGTTTTTTCCTTCCTGACTAAGATTGAAGGCGCACATCGCGGAACCTGGACTGAGTCAGCCAAAGGAGATGGGCGATGGGCTCGGCAGCATTATTTTTAATCTGCGTTACCATCAGGAAGACCGTAACTGCGGGTCCCGTCATTACTGCCTAATTGTGCCGTTATTAATTATTTGCAAACAGGCTGATGGGGGGAGGGGGGGGAGGGCGGAAGATGCGTCAGATCTGACCTTTTGTCGCTACCTCGAAAATTGGAGATGGCCAATATTAAGCGATATCCGTTAAAAGAAAAAAAAGGGGCATAAACTACAGGTCTGGCTTGTCAGCGGATGAAGCGTCCTGCAGGCCGGCTGAGAGCTTTCGCCAGCCCTTATACCAACACGCGGAAGGTAAAATTGGCTTTACAGGTCTGCAGCTTTTCGCAAACGGTTCTTCCGCTTAAACCCTCTGCTAACACCGAGCGCAGGGAGGGGGGCCGTCCGCGGGGACTGGCGCGGCCACGGGCTCTGTTCCCACCCGGGCCAGGACTCGTCCAGGGGCCTCACACCTGGGCACCCGCTTTGCCTTTGCCGGG